GCCTGCAGGTGGGCGCTCGTGCCAGCTCCCGGTGGCCAGCCCCGCCCGCAGGCCTGCTGCGCTGGGCAGCCTCCCGGGCACACTGACCGACGTGGCGATTGGAGCCGTCCAGGCTGGCAAACTCGATGTAGTCCTCGCGGGCATCAGCCCAGTAGATGCGCTCGGTGACGTAGTCCAGCGTCAGGCCGTTGGGCCACGTGATCTTGGTGTCCACGATGACGCTGCGGCCGGACCCATCCATGCCGATCCGGCCGATCAGTGAGTGGTCACCCCAGTCTGTCCAGTACAGGTACCTGGCAGGGCGTGAGCATCGGGCGATGTGGCATCTAGCCTGCAGCTGGAGCCCCGCCAGCCCCTCAGCCTACGTACCCGTTCTGCACGTCCACCACCAGGGCCCTGGGCTCGCGGAGGCCCGAGCTGACCAGCACCGTCCGATAGGCCCCGTTGAGCTTGGACACCTCGATGGTGTCCCGGCCTTTGTCACACCAGTACAGGTTGCCGCCCACCCAGTCCACGGCGAGGCCATCAGGGTTGCTGAGGCCCGTGCGGTGCAGCACCTGCGGGCAGAGGGCAGGACTGTGGTGGGCTCGGCCTCCCGTGGCCGGGCGGGGGGCGCCACACCAGGGAGTCTCTCAGAGCGGGCTCCGGGGCCCACGTGGGGACATGCTGTGACCAGGGCCAGCGAGGGATCCCTGGACCTCGCTGCTGGGCATGGAGGCCAGAGAAGCAGGGGCCAGTGGGGCCCCAGGTGCCTTGCTGGGGGCGGGAGACCGCGGCAGCCCCGCACCTGCACGCTGCTCCCGTTGAGGTGCATCCTGCGGATCATGCTGCCCTGGGTGGTCACGTCCGTCCAGTAGATCATCTGCTCCCGGTAGTCGAAGTCCAGGGCCACGGCGTTGTTCAGGCCCTGGTGAGGGGGTTCGGGCAGAGAGTGACTGCGGAATCGGGACGTGCATGGCTGGGGGTCGGCAGGGGCAAGGCTGTGGGCAGGGCTGGCGGGGGCGGCACCGGGCGGGAGCGCCCTGGGCCTGGGGGACGGACTGGGGCTCCCCCGCACCTGCTTCAGCAGCGTGTAGTTGGAGCCGTCCAGGTTGAGCTTGCGCAGGTAGTACCGGTTGGCAAAGATCAGGAAGGGCTCCTCGTCTGGACACAGAGGGCACGGCCTCAGCGCCCAGCTCGGCCGGCAGGCC